ATCTATCATCTATCTATCTATCTATCTATCTATCTATCTATCTATCTATCTATCTATCTATCTATCTATCTATCTATCTATCTATCTATCTATTTGAAGTCCGGACATCTTCAAGTTGCCAAGGTTGAGAAACACTGATTTAAGAGGAGCGGTTGCTTATATTTAATTTTTAAAATTTGTTTTTATGGTAGAAAACACAAAGAAAAAAAACCCGAATAGAAATAGGAAATTAAGGGAAGGAAAAAGAGTGGGAAGAATTGGTGTGTAGGTGTATCAGTTGAATAAATAAATGGAATAAATCATAGGAAGCCATCCAAGGAAATTTACAGGCTCCCCTTTTCCCGGGCGAGGAAGGGTTTGGTAGGCTCACCGGATCCGCAGAGATCCCCGAGATAAACGCAGCCCTTCCGATGGCCGAGAATCACCACGAGCCAAAAATCACAGCAAACAAACGTGGCATTGAGAGGCCTGGGAACACCTTTGTGGGACGGGCTGGGACAAACAGAGGCTGTTTTGTGCTTCCTGCTCTGAATGTGTCTGGCGAGGCGTGAAATCTGAATAAGTTTAAGTTTATAAGTTTAATAACATTTATATGCCACCCAATCCCGTAGGAATCCGGGATATATATACTTAATTTTTAAAAGGTTTTAAGCATGTGTTTAATTTTAAAAAGGATTTTGCCCCATTTTAATTTTTAAAACGATACTTAGAATAAACTTTAGCGTTTTAGAAATATATTTTCTTTTAAAAGTTTTTTTTTGGGGGGGGGGGAATCAAAATGCCAGAAAGAGGCTGCCAACCAAGGGCCCTAGAGATAGATATGGGGAGGACAAGTTTGGAAGGGACCCGGGAGGTCTTCTAGTCCAACCCCTTGCTCGAGCAGGAGACCCTGTACCGATCTTGGAACTTTTAAGATGTGTGGACTTCAACTCCCAGAATTCCCCAGCCAGCAATTCTGGGAATTAAAGCCCACAGATTTTAAAATGGACAAAGCTTGAAGAATACCAGGCTAACTTTGTATGTTTATACTCTTGCAATATTGCATTTATATTATTTTTATCTTTTAATATTGAAAGCTAGCAAGAGTTGCCCGGTGGTAAGACGCTGGCTGGGGAATTCTGGGAGTTGAAGTCTTAAAAATTCCCAAGATTGGAGGCCTCTTGATTGGACCCTCTTGCCCTCGACTTACAACAGTTCATTTAATGGTCAATTCAACATCACGACCGCCCTGAAAAAGGTGGCATCCGTTTTTCACCCTTTGTAAATGCCCCGTGATCAAAAATCCAGATGCTTGGCAGCTGACTCATTCTTACGACTTGTAGTTACGACCGTTGTGTTCACGTGGTCCCCTTTTGCGACCTGGTGGCAAGCAAAGTCAAGGGGGAAGCCAGATCCGCTTAACAACCGGGCGGCCGACTTATCCACTGCAGAGATTCACTTAACAACCGCGGCAAGAAAAGTTGTAAAAATGGAGCCCATGTCTCCCTTAACAACAAAAATTTTGGGCTCGGCTGCGATTGTAAGTCGAGGAACTGCCTGTATCATTCCAGACAAGTGGCTATCCAATGATCTTTTCTTGAAAACATCCAGGGATGGAGCGGCCAATAATTCTGGTGGCAAGCTGTTCCGCTGGTTAATTGTTCCCACTGTCACACGTTAAATCAATACATAGATCATTTCTTTGAAAAGGAATGGCAAGCCTGAAAGATTAGTGCAGGAGTCCTCAAAGTTGGCAGCTTTAAGACTTGTGGACTTCAACTCCCAGAATTCTCCAGCCAGCTATGCTGGCTGGAGAATTCTGGGAGTTGAAGTCCACAAGTCTTAAAGCTGCCAACTTTGAAGATTTGTTAGTGGACGAGCAATGCAGAACCAGAAAGTTTGAACTAAATTCACACAGCCCAGCAAACTCTTCCATGCTGGTGACCTGAACCCTTCTGGGATTCCGCTTCCCCCGCCCCCCTCGCCAGGCATTGCAGAAGGACATCTCGGAGAAGTTATGGTCTTTGGAGTCCTTGAACAAGCAGTACCGCCAGCTGGTGGGGACGGGCAACATCGACCCGTGCCTGAAGTCCTCCATGCAGGAGGTCAACCGGCGTTGGGAGGAGCTGCGAAGCCAGGCGGCTGCTGTTTCCAGGAGGCTCCAGGTGAGCTTGGAAGAGACGGAGGGGTTCGTTGGTACGGTCATCAAGGGTTGGTCCCAGCCGGCTCTGGGTTTGGAGGTCGTGTTTGGGCAGCCCTCAGTGGTGCTGCTGCTCCCCCCCACAAACCTTAGGTGTCTCTGGGGTGGGGGGCTTTTGCAGATGTTTCATGCCCCAGCTGGAGAACATCATCGGCGCCAGAAGAGGATGGAGGTTGCTCTCTGCTTATATTCATTTCCTTCTAGCACTGAGGATGTTACCTAGTTGGGTCATGAAATGTCTGCAAGAAAAGGGACAGCATCAAGGACCTCACAGNCCTTTCTCTCTTTCTTCCTTCCTCCTTCCTTCTTTCTTCCTTTTTCCTTCCTTCCTTTTTCTTCCCTCTCTCCCTCTTTCTTTCTTTCCTTCCTTTCTCTCTCTTTCTTCCTTCCTTCTTCCTTCCTTTTTCCTTCCTTCCTTTTTCTTCCCTCCCTCCCTCCCTCCCTCTTTCTTTCTTTCTTTCTTTCTTTCTTTCTTCCTTCCTTCCTTTCTCTCTCTCTTCCTTCCTTCCTTCTTCCTTCCTTTTCCCTTCCTTCCTTTTTCTCCCCTCCCTCCCTCTTTCTTTTTTCTTCCTTTCTTCCTTCCTTCCTTCCTTTCTCTCTCTCTTTCTTCCTTCCTTCTTCCTTCCTTCTTTCTTCCTTTTTCCTTCCTTTTTCTTCCCTCTTTCTTTCTTTCTTTCTTTCTTTCTTTCCTTCCTTCCTTCCTTCCTTCCTTCCTTTCTCTCTCTTTCTTCCTTCCTTTTTCTTCCCTCCTTTCCATCAAATTTATACACTGCCCATTTTGATATCTAAACAACTCTGGGTGGTTTGCAAATAAAAATTGTTTGTGGGAAGCTCGCAGGGAGTGTTGGGAATCATTATTTCTCCTCCTTGGCTAACCTAAGGCACTCCCTGCCACTGTGCTAGCAGGAAAAAAAAATGAGAAAAAAGATGAGTCCTGAATGAGTCTGTGAAAGGAAATCCCCCCCACACTTCCCACCCTGGCATGTCCCCATAGGCCCCCTCCTTCCAGGGAGGAAAAGGGCTCATGACACCCCCCACCCCCAGCCAGCCCTACTTCACCAGTAGGCATCAGAGTTACTCCCTCATCCTCCATTTCAGAGTATAGATCTCAGATTAACAGAGTTGGAAGGGACCTTGGAGATCATCTAGTCCAAACCCCCACCCAAGCAGGGGACCCTTATACCGTGTGCAAAATTTTCACAGAAATGTGTGTGCCTTTTAGCAGGTTCACTTCTCTAATATATGCACTTATTTTTGCATTTTTATTGATTGCAGAGAGTGTTTCAAAAACAGTGTTGCTTGATATAATGTTGGCTTAGGGGATTTCTCCCCGGTGAGATACGAATATGTGCGACCCTTCCCAATTTGCATCTAAGCACTTGTGAAAAAAGGGTCAAAATTCTACGGTGCCTTCCTTCATTCGGAAGGGCAGAATGGAGATCGTGAGGAAACAGAGTACATTGCGGTTGATACATTGAACAGAATAACAGAGTTGGAAGGGACCTTGGAGGTCATCTAGCCCAACCCTCTGCTTAGGCAGGGAATCCTACACCATTTCAGAGATTATCCAATCTCTTCTTAAAAACTTCCAGTGTTGGAGCATTCACAACTTCTGGAGGTGTTGTAATATAGTTCCTTGTGTAGGTGTGGGTCACCCATGGCCCAGTTCATAACGGGGCATGCAGAGCCACGCTGAACCACACAGGAGAAAACAAACTCTTCTTAAAAACTTCCAGTGTTGGAGCATTCACAACTTCTGGAGGTGTTGTAATATAGTTCCTTGTGTAGGTGTGGGTCACCCATGGCCCAGTTCATAACGGGGCATGCAGAGCCACGCTGAACCACACAGGAGAAACTCCTAAAACCCCATAACATCCGGATAGTTCATAACATAACATCCTGAGATGTTCCCCATCTTCTTTTGTAAAGAACTGTAGCATTTGCTGGCAGTCCTCGACGTATGACCACAATTGCCGTTGCTTAGGGATTCAATGAATACGGGAGACGCGCCTGGTTTTACAACCGTTTTTTTGCTGTGGTCACTAATTGCATCCTGTTGACTCCCCCATTGATTTTCCTTGCCGGGAGCCGCCTGGGAAGGTCACAAGTGGTCGT